AACCCTAACCCTAACCCTAACCCTAACCCTAAAACCCACTAGCACAATGGATACCTAGTCTGCCGGCCGACGGCTCTCCCACGCCACGCATGAAATGCCGAGCTGCCGGCATCGATGCACCATGTCACCGCGTAATGCAATTAATGGCACTACCACCACCGTGACCCCACGGGGGCTAATCCACGCGGGAAGCATGAAAAGTAAGCTTTTTCCACCCCCGGTTGGCATAACGGCCACTACCGGGCTCTGGCCTCGCTAAATAGCTTCCAATGCCGGTGCTTGCACCCCTCGGAGGCGTAGCTCGCTATTACCACCCATCATGCGCTGCATCTCCGGCTCTATGGCTGCCTACGTCAATTGCCACCGACGCTCCGTACGACCTATCTCAGCTTCCTTCTGCCATGGTGAAAACTGGGCCAGTCCTAATGCACTCTCGGCACCCCCGTCATCCGTGGACACAAAGCCTAAAAAGCGATGCCAGTCGGTGCTACTAAGCCGAAACATCTCACGCCGGTGGGCCGTCGTACCGGGCTGCTCGGTGATGCCACGACTGTAGATCATGCCGGCAACGTGCGATAAATGGGCCGCCTAGAGGTCAGCAATATGACCTATCTATTGCTCAGCATTCATGCCCTCTTCGTTATCCTCTTGTGAAGCCTCGGCTCGCACGTCCTACTGCGTATTATTGGGAAATACGCTAGATGGCCGTATGAAGCGACGGCTAATGCCAATAGCAATATCCCGGTAAGCGTTCAAATGAATAGCTTGACCATTAAGCCCAATGGTGGTTTCTCGCTTTAGCACTTCACGGAGTCTATCGGATGACCAATCTCGGCCAGTGCCAGGATCCGGACCCCAGAGGTAAGCCTGGCGTATTTTACTAAGTCTAAAATTAGTAAAAATTCAAAAGTAATTCAAAAGTAATTGATGAAATTGAAAAAATTGATGAAATTGATGAAATTGAAAAATTGAAAAAAACTCACCTTTTAATCTCCTCCACACCATCTAATCTCCGCACCTTCGCTACGTACGCCTCCAATCGCCGTGTAAATGGCAATACTAGCCATAAATAATAGACCACAAGCTCTCCTACCTCACGGGGTAAATAGCGATGAATCACCTTAGTATCATTGGATGCGTAAAACCCCTTATGGTATTGTGAGACAAATACAACGAGCCCGTCCTCAATGAATACGTTGCGACGGCCCCCGCTATCAGTATTGCAATGCCGAATGCTTAATAGCTCGGGTGCGCGAGCCGGCTGGCCACCACTCACGTGAATAGCAATAGCAAGCTTCTCACGGAAATACGCTACCCGTTAGAGGTATACGTCAATTGCTGCCATACGTAGACGACCGGCACTACTCTCGATAAATCGCTGCCGTACCGGGCTGCCGTGCTGCCGGACCCGGCCGATCAGCCATTGCTCGCCGTCCACGGGCCATGGGGTACGGGTATCTTTTAAGAAATTCCACCCGTGGGCTGTCTCCGTGGGATCGTCGTAAATTGCCTGCCATGGAATAGCTGGAACTAACCCATTTTCGACGGTAAATAATAGCTCATTGTGGAGAATTTGGCGTGCTGAGCTAGTGAGCCCGTGGATGAACCCACGGAAGTCACCCATTGTGAAATTGAATTGCTAGTAAAGTAGCTGGTCCTGGTTCATCCAGCCGACGTGACCCGTAGTGGTGCTATTATAATGGATCTTTAACCCATACGTCCGTAGATCTAATAACCATTGAATTGGGCTATTTGTTCCACGGACCATGAATTGGCTGACTATCTCAGCTACCCACTCTCGAAATAATCGATGGGTCTGCCGTTGAGCTTGGCTAAATTGAATAAATTGGGAAGACTGGCTAGCCGTGGGTGGCTGAACTGGGCCAGTTTCAAAATTGTAAAATAGATCCTCTGATGTCTGAAATTCAGGTGAATCTAGCGGACTCTCGGTATCCCAATCACCTACCATTTGATGCTCCGCTAGCTGATATAGCATTGCCTCCGCCGTAGAATCCAATTTCAAAGCCTTGTGGACTACCATAAAGCGTGCGATCTTGATCAGCTTCGATAAAATAGGTGGATAGCTCTCAGCAGTACGCCAGCCTGCCTCTCCACGGCCGAGCACTGCCGTGGCACAAACTAGCGCGCTCTCATAGTCCTCAACCTTAATTCGATGGTTTAATAGCTCAATACAAAAATTGAGACACGCTAAATCAATGGGTGCGAGGTAAAACGGGGATTCGGTGCTATTGTGCTGATTCGCTAGTGATTCGCTAGCAATTCGCTGCGTGGGCTGATTCTCGGTGTCACTCTCTAAATGCTCGCTATTATCGTCTGAACTAGCCGTGGCTGAACTAGCCGTGGCTGACCTAGGTGATGCGCCCGGCTGGGCCAGTTTCCAAAGCGAGTTCCACGCAGCGCGCTGGCGCCTAGTAAATTTGTAATTTGGACTAGCCCATTTATGCGTAGCCTGCGTACGAGTGAAAAACATCAAAATTTGCTGCCACGGGATGGTGTGTCTCTCAATGTTATCGGCATCCATGTAAGCTTGCAGCGGCTGGTGCGGTAGTCGGTCGCGCTCCGTACGTACGGCTTCGGTGCGAATTGTATGGCTAGTTTTAGTACAAATCAACTGGCTAATTCTCGCGACGGCAGCCATTGCATCCCATATAGCACTTGCCGCTATTTCAGTCGGATCGGATGAATCGCCGTCGGGTGCGTGGACGCAGTCAATAAGGTGCTGCGGGTCGATTCCACGGAGATAGACAGCCCACTGCGTGCGACGTAGCCATGGATTCGCGTCATCGCGCTCGCTAGCTTCTATAACGTGAGGTAATTCACTTTCCTCCGTAAAAGCTAGTTCAATTTCATCAATAAGCCGGTCGCCGACCTCGGTCGCGGGCATTGAATCGGCCCCGGTAATAGCTGCCGCCCCGAGCGTAGACACACGAATGTAATGAGATCCAATACGACTAGGAAATGCGCGCTAGCATCGGATAACGCGCGTAAATTGCTGGATTTGCTGCTCGGCCGCCGATAAACCTTGCTGCCGCCGACGGCCGCCATAGTTGACCGGTGCGACCTAGGCATGGCATTTACGCCAATGGTAGCGTAAGGTCCCAATAGAACGGGCGATAAATTGACAAAATGGGTCCTTTTCACATAAAATGCCATCCGAAAAAACTGGCAAATTAGCAATTGGGCTATTGACCACGGTTGGTGGCTGCCATGCGTCGCATTCATGCGCCCGGTCGGAGGTTTGAACAACGTCCGCAATTTCACGTGCTATACGCATTGGAAGTCGATGATTAGGTGATTGAAGGTGTCGTAAGACCTCTCTCGGTCTAACAACGTGCTCGCATTTCTTACACACGAAGACTGGGTCTGTCGAAGGTAGGTGAAAAAATTGGGCTGCCATGGTTGACTAGTACAATATATATATCGTAATATAACGAATTGCATGAAATTTGACGAATGTCGAATGCTGGCTTTGGGGTGAAATGGTCTAGAAATAAAGTGCGATGATAGCTAGGGAGCGTCTAAACCCCTAAATTAATTGCTACCCCTCCTGATCATTATGGGCTAGTATTATCGAAGTTGTTCTATTCGTCTACAGTGCTGCGGCGGCGTCTTTGGTAGTAAACGTACGCCGTAAAGGTACAAAATCGCGTACCCCAACAAAACATCTCTAATTTTTAATCGCTATTTTCACCATAATTACTACGCTGTGCATGCTCCGAAGGAAATGGGAGATAAATTAGATGGTCTATTATAACTGACCAAAATTTGAGAGCAATCGGAGGCCTCTAGACCTTAGGAGTCTAACGAGGAAAAGAACCTGGAGTCTAACGGGCCCCACTTTTTATGTCCCATAGTGAAGGGAAAGCCCTAACCTGGAGTCTAGTAGACTCCAGCACCCCCCGTAGGATAG